TAAAATACAAATATCGAAATAATAAAATAATACTAAAATAAAATAATAAACTAATAAAATAAAACTGTTCTATAATAAGCACAACTCTTTCTGACGATCACTTGATCAATAACAATCTACTGAACTACAGTTAGTAATATAGAAAAGCAACATATTGGACACAATAATATTCCTGGTTTTGCACTAAGCAAACTTGTTGTCAACAAAGCCTACAATACGTAAAATACTGAGGAGTATATATATAAAAATATTAGGCAGGTTTGTGCCTTGGGTTAAGTTTTCCTTTCTTCAATGGACTCTTTAGCATATTTGGCATCTAAACTAGAAGGTCTATTCTAGGAACAAGTAGAGCAAAGTCTCTAGGCAGAAATATCTTGTAAATATTAGAAAACTGAACTATACAACTGTAAAATTTATAAGAAGAACCTTATATATTCTTGTTGACTCCTCACTTTTTTTGGAAAAAATTTTGTAAAAAAGTAGGTGATTTAGCTTATTCTTTTCTAAAGATTGACATATTGTTTACTTACCAAATCGGTCGCATTGTTTACATTTTTACTGCATTTACTAATTTCCTCCCATAGTTGTGATTGGCTGAGATTATTTGTGCAAATTTACATGTCATCTTCTAAATAAAATGTAAAATCTCAGTTAGGATTTGGGGTTAGAATTAGTAGGTGACATTATACTAAAATTTTGCAAGAAATTTTTTTTGTTAGTGTATAAAAGGTAATTTCTTAAGGAAGTTTTGCGATAAGTGTAACTTTTCAAAAAAAAGTGATTGTTGTTTTGATTGTCACATTACACCTGATCTTGAATCCTAATTGGCCAATATCACAACTGTGGGGAGAAATTAGTAAATACATTTTTACTTGTCACAACAAATACATGAATACATATGGAACTAAACATATAGATTATATGCCTCGAATATGGCAACCTGGACAAACAATGACTCAAACCTCCAGTGCAAACTTCTGACCTTTCTGACCTCTCTATAGTGCTGACGTCGAAAAAGCTATTTTTTTATCTTGTCACAGGGTTTTTTCGTATCTTAGATATACTATGTATATAAATTAGAGTAGAGACTAGTTTAAATAGTAGTATATAATTTTTATAGAGCCCAATACAGGCTTATAATTGTGACCGTCCAGTGCGGGTGAAAAATTTCATATTTAGTTTAGTTTTTTTCATTTTTTTCTTTCTTTCTTCTTTTCTTGTTTGTATTTTTTTTTTTTCAACGTATCCTCTATACCTCTGTGTTTTTTAAAAAATTTTTCTTTTTCTTTCACTTTCTTATAAGAAGATGTTATCAAATTAGCGATATTCTATTATAGGGTGGTGGTTGGATGAGCCCTCTGGTTAAGATATTATTTTATATCTCACCAGTGCAGTGGGTCGTCTATAGGTGCTTAGATAGCTGTTGATTATGTTGCAGTAGCTGTAGGATATCAAGACTGAAGTTTTATTAGTTTTAAGTCTTTCATAAGATAATGCTTTGAATAAACATAGAACACAGGTACAACTTTGCCTAAGTAAAAAAAAAAAAACTGTTCTATAATAGTATAAAAGACTATAAATCAGTTAATCAAACCAGTAGTCTAAGAAAATAAGTAGGATTCAGGACTTCTTAACTAACTAATATATTGAAGATATACTGGTAATGCAAGAAGAGTTGTATTACAAAGGGTTTAAATAATAACACTTATAGTCGAATTACAGATATAGTATTTAGTATAAAATCTATAATGTAAGTTGTAGGCAAACTACTTCAATTAAACACCAAAAGTGTATATTTGGCTAGTTGTACTCTTTAATATAAGAGGACTTATTTGTGGCAATAGTTTTTTTTTTTGATTTTAAGGTAATCTCTTAGTTGCTGTTTTTTTATTCGATTATTGTTAACTTTTACATTATAGTATACACCATACCTTAATATATATTTGGAGAGTATAACTAGCCTATTTAAGTAGTCCCTTATTACTAAGGTTTATACTAGCTGCTATACCTATAACTCTAATATATTATTTATTTAAACTTTCTGCATCTATGTATATTAATCTTTTAACCAAGTGAGAGTACATTAGTACCTCTTTATTTTCAAATTTCGACTTAGGACTTTAAGACATACTTACCTATAAAAGTTATTTGTTCTAAATATAAACCTGCTAGAGCTTTCCATATCTACAAACTGGCTAATCTAGGCTTCAGTAACTTATGCCAAGTCCAAGAACAAGTACTTGTGAGCTGAAGTTACTACCATTACCTACTTCTGCTCTTGTAGAGTTCACCCAAACTCTAGCACATACTTTATGGACTATTACTGACTTTTCTTCATCAACAGCGTTCTAAACTTCCAATCTAGATAGCCTGGGGAGGGACCAGTGGGCATCCCCTTAGTATTTTGATTAAATTTCTTTTCCTTATTTATATGGAGCCACGCCTGTATATATGTAGCTTGGTTGATATTAGTATTTGCCAAACACCTAGTCCTTATTCAGTTTACTGCCAGTGTCTAATCACTAATAATCATCTTTTATATAGTACTATTAAAGATTTGTGCTACTTCTCTACTCGGGACTTGCTAAGTGAGATTCTATATATTCTAGCCCTTGGATTTACACAAACATTTTACTTGAGTTTTGTATAACTCTTGCATCACACTATAGTTCTATATTCTTTTAATACAAGCTGATATGACCAAAGCTACAGATTTAATACTCTATCAGATTACATACAGTCTCTATAATATATTCTGTAAAATTTGAATTTTGTTGTCAGTAGGATTCGAACTCTTGTCCTGCTGCTTGGAAGTGTGACAACTTACCAACTTCACTAAGTCACCACATCCTATATTTGTAGCAATAGTTACAAGCCTCCACACTTATTACTTGAATAAAAATCTTAAAGCCAAAGATCCTAATTTAAAAAAAAATAATAATAAAAATAAGAGCTCTAACATTTTTATCTAATATTTATTTATTATAGAGCTCTACAAATTCTAAAGAACTCTGATATAACTCAGATCTGAGTTTGAATAATATTAGCCAAATAGGCATATAAAATAGATTAAAATTTAAAAATTTATTATATAAAAATGTAATGTTTAATAAATTTCTACATAAAATTTCTTTTTTTAATAACCTCTAAGTTGTATCAGAGTTTTTCAAAGTTCTAGCTCTACCTCTTCTCTCCCAGGTAATATTTTTATTAACCAATTAAATTTTAATATTATATTGAAATAAGGTTTGGCTTTATTCCAACACCTAAAATATTATCTAATAAATATCAATACTCTAATTTAATATTATTAGAATTAGAAAAACCTATTCTATAATTTTATTTAGAAATATAAAAACAGTTTTCATAATAAAATTTGTTTAATGGAGGTGTGATAACTTAGTGAAGTTGGTAAGTTATTATATCTCTAAGTAGCAGAACAAGAGTTTAAATCTCACTAATAATAAAAATTCAAATTTTATAGAATGTATTATAGCAGACTGTGTGTAGTCTAACAGATCAGCATCTGTAACTTTGGTCATACTAGATTGTACTAAGAGGCTGTGAAGCATTAGTGTAATATATGAGTTATACAAAATCTGAGTAAAGCAGCTAGGTAAATTCAAAAATCTGAAGAGTTTATCTTTAATATAGATAGGTAAATATATTTATTATATAATTATAAATATATAAATAAACTATTTTGAACTAATTTAAGCCATTTTATAGATTGTTAGAGTTAGAATTAGAGTTAAAATATAAATTAACTTAAATTAGGCCACATATATAAATAAAATTGGTTCTCATCACCCAAGTGACTTTTTTGCAAAAAGTAAAAATTTTTTTTATATTAAAACATATAAATAATCTCTATAGCTAGTTGAATTGTAAAAATAATTTCATAATTAGACAGGTAACAACCATAGCAAATACAACTTAATGCAATAAAGTTTAAAGACATAATTAAATAGGTACTCTTTAGCAAATTTGCAAATATTAAAAAGTAGGATTTGTATTAAAGTACCTACTGATATGAGGTAATAATAATTAACCAAAAATTTAACGTTTTGTGAACCTGATATTCGATCTGTTATATTGATCCTGCTATTTTACCTAAGATTAAAGTGTTAACAATAACCCGTTAGGATGACTGTTACAAGAAACAGCATTCGAGCTTTTAGATCGATAGGTATGATTGTAGGATGAAATTCATATTAGTTAATAAACATTGTAAGGCTAAAATAAACTTTTATTAAAGAACTCCTTGTTTTTATATAGGTAACACATTCTTCAAATACCATTATAGCATTAACTTCTAGATTGCTGTGATCACTATTACAAGATATTCAGATCAACTATCATATTTGTTAACTTTAAAATCTATTGCATAGGACTAAAAAAAGAAAAAAAGAATATATAGTTATTGCATACTTCATATGCAATAACTATATATTCTTTTTCACAAGACAAATGCTTATGAGATTGTGTAGATTGCTCGATAACATGCTCAAGAAATCTTTTTTTATTATTACATAACTACTGTAAAATATAATTTTGAACAGTACTACCGTCACACTTTCACAATAGCTGTGACATCTTAACTGTTTTTTTTTTTTTTGTCTGAAACTTAACACCCTTGCTTTTTTTTTTTAGATTTAATTTTGACATTACATTCAGGACAATATGGCTGTTAACTAGCAGGAGTTGGTGAAAGGATTTTTATATTACCACAATGAAAACAGACATCTGGATAAAGACGAGAGGAGAAGTATGGAACTTCCATTGGTGTTGAGCAGGTAAGCTTAGCATTAATGAAAACACGCTTGAATAATGCTTCTAAAGATAAATCATTAGCCTCATTCTGTTGTTCTGTAGATAATTCGTTGATAAACTTATTTTCATCTTCCATATCAATGATATCATCCACATCATCGATATTATTCACATCATCGATATTATCCACATCATCGATATCATTTACGTCAATAAAATCATCACCGTTATCTATATCTTAACATTCGTTATAATTGTTGTTTAAGTATGATTGTGAACTGGCTTTTGTAAGGTCTGAAATTCTATAAAAAAGTTGTACCACATGTATAATCAATCGTTTCAATGAAGTTTTTAAGAAAACTTTCTTCACCTGGATTTAAACAATATTGTGAATAAAGAACCTGTGGCCAGTTACATTCAATGCACTTGACCAAAACACACACATTTGATATATATTGTGCTTAGAGACTAAAGCCCATACCATTAACACCAAGGTTATTAGTCATAGTCGTTGATGGTGATATGGCTTTTTGAAGCAAAGACGAGCAATATTTTTCACTAATTTCTCTACCATATATTTTACAAAATTGCATATAATGATCTTTATTTACTTTAGAAATAGGATCAGAGAAAGGTCGCAACTTTAAAAATGTATTGAGATTGCTCCATGAAGGTTTATATATTATGCAACCGTTTTCAGCTTCTTGGCATTTTCTAATTTCAAAAAAGTAGGTTCTTGAACGGCAGCAATAGTTCATGAACTCAAGAATGCGGGGCTATATTTATATATGTGTAAGTTTATAAGAAGTTTTTTTCTGATTTTTTTTTTCTGATTTTTTTTTTTGATTTTTTTTTTGACATTTTTTTTTTCTCAGATTTTTTTTTTATTTTTTTTTATTTTATTATTTATTTATTTTGAAATTCAAACAAACCTTATTTTCAATATATTTCTTGGATGTGTCTTCTAATACTAATGAATTATCTACTTCAAGCACAGACTCTCTTAATCGCCCCATGTTTTGCTCAGTCGCTGATTCGAATACGGAAAACTGTTCTTCCTTAAGTTCCAGTCGTTCGAAAATATCCTGTATAATAGTTTTAGTAGGTTGTAAGCTTTCAATTATTCCTTTTTTAAGCTAAGATACTCTTTTAGCCTTATTTCGAATTTCGTTTATTGTATTACAACTTTTCATCAAGCTTTCTAATTTTTCATTTATCTCACTTCTCATTAGTCCAATGCACTGTAACC